TTTTCTTCACAGATGCTGCCAGACCTGCTGAGCTTTTCCAGCAACTTCTGTTTTTGTTCCTGATTTACAGCATCTGCAGTTCTTTCAGTTTTTATTATTTAGTGAGTGTTGAAGAAAAGCAGAACCGCATCTAACATGGACATGGTACTTTGAAGTTTGTAGACATGGGTTGGCAGAACGTGATCAGCTTACTGCTCACTGCGAATGGTCAAAGCAACATGCTGTCTGACCCAATTCACCAGTCAGTGGGATGGAGAACTACATTCAAATGAGTGACATATGAGACAATACATCCCTTTGACATACATTGCACTTTGGTTGAATTTGTGTCACTGTTTAGTAATGTTTAAGTTTTGTACTACCAAGATTTTATTTTTGATATATAGATAGAAGTGATTTGAAAGTTGTCAAAGTCTATCAGAGGTCTGGGGCGAATACAGTCCTGGGTTCCTGTTCATTGATCAATGAGGAGAGTGAAAGGGGCAGGAGACTATTGGGGCAGCAGGGAAATCACTGTTGACTGGGGTGAGGTAAGCAGAGGCATGTGTTGAGGTGGAGACCCAGACAGTCTTGGAGGGGTCCCAAGGTATATGGGGAGAAGGATAGGCACAGCATTGAAAGGATGATAGGCTACTGGAGGGCATTTATTGGCAGTGATCACCATGTGGCTTCCACAAGCAGAGCATACAGGAACAGAGTGGTTATTAAAGTATAATGTTAGGATTTAGGATCAGGGAGGATAGTTGGAGTTAGAGTTCATTGTATTGGGTCTCCACATGGCAGAAAGGGATGTCAGAGTACAGAGAGTTAGAACTCCAGATATGAAATGCAACTGGAAGAGGACGGGGAAAATGCCTAGGATGGGCGGAGTCAATATCAGTTTGATGGGCAGAAGAGGCCTTTTAGAGGTGTCGCGGACTTCCAGGGAGCCAGTCCTTTTGTGGATATCTGCTGAGCAGTGAGTTGTTCAGGGAATGGCTGTGGTAAGATAGAGCTAGAATCAAATGAGAGAGTCACAGTAAGGATGGGATGGTAAGTAGATGATGCACATTTGCTAAGATACAGCAAGAAATCTCACTAGACCTTGCAGCAAAAATTCTTCCAACAAAATCAATGCAATGACATTGTCAGAAAAAGTCTGATTCAACACACCTTTGGACTAGCTTTTATTTCCAGACATTTATTGCATTCAAATTTTGCCTTTGGCTATGGTGAGATTTGAACCCACGTCCTCAGAATATTTAGCCTGGATCTATCTGATGATGGGTTTTGTGTCATTCCCACTACATCACTATCACCTTGTAAGATAATTCATTCTGACAGAAGTCGGAGAATGTCCAAAAGTTTATGTTTTCAGACTAAATATTTGCATGCCGTGAAACTGAAAGATAGAAACCCACTGTGATTCACATTCTTGGTTTATCAAGTGAAATCCTCAGTGCAGATTTTCCTAACTAATCTCTCCCATTTCTTATTTCTGGTGTGAAATTTCTGTCTGTCATAATTAGAGTGCCATTCTCAGCATTTTGATCCAGACCTTTGTGCAATTGTAATTGCACAACAATGAAATAAATGAGCCTTAACCTGTCTGACACTGTTTTGTGAACACAGATCTGTAACTGAATTTTTCTGTTTTCCAGGGTGACCGTGGAGACCCTGGGGATTCAGGGCCAATGGGACCCAGAGTGAGTTGTCTTGTTTTGTTTCTCGATATGCTTTGATCAGTTGTCGGTGATTACCAAGTGCGGATCTGAATTCAATGCGAATTGTCATGATGCTTTTTTAGGGGCCACCTGGGCAGAAAGGAGAACAAGGGGTAACTGAGATAATAGACTACAACGGCAATATCCATCAAGCACTCCAGGTGAGTGGAGTCTCTGGGTGAATTTGTAACTTAGAATCAATTAATGCTAAGTAATGCTGTGGTGCAAATCCATTAGGACCATGTGAATTAGGAGCAGGAGTAAGCAATTTAGCCCTTTGAACCCACTCCACCATTTAACATGATCATGCCTGATCTTATCATCGTCTCAACTCCACTTTCCTGGCTGCTCTCCACAGCCCTAATCCAACTTTCTGGAATTGGAACACCAATGAGATTGGCCTTGGAAAAGAGGTGCCCGGTTTCTACCATATCCCCATCCTGGTCATTTGTTGCAGCTATGTCACCTTCTTCCCAGGGCCTCGTCAGTGCTCTATGTTCCTGCACCATCCCCTCTCAGCCCCCAACAATGTCGTGGGGGTCCCCATCCTGGTAAAGATGATGGTCAGAATTGCGCTAATTAGCTGACCCCACTCTGAACTCAGATTCTCCGATAGGTCAGGGGCAGAGGTCTGCACTCACGGCGGCAAAGCAAGATTGTGCGATCTTAGCTGCTGTATCTCTGTTTTAATCTCAATTTTATTTCTTGGCTCTGTTTGTTTCTGTGGTCTGAAACATCTGTTGATATAAGAAGTTCTTTTTATCTCAGGGTCTTCAAAGCTTTTATTAGATTAATATAGCTTTAAGGGCAAACTGAGCTCAGAATGCAAATATTAGATTGGGATCATGAAAGACTATAATCTTCTGCTTCTATTATTTCCATGTCTCATCATACGGAGCAGATCTATTTTCCTGTCTGTATATACTGTTTGCTAAAGAATAATCATGCAATTGCAAATTCTTTGCTTTGTTTTCCAGTAAGCTTATTTCATAGTGATCGATATAGGTACCAGATGTGATGTTAAGAACAGCAAGCTCTTTGAATTTGCATACCACAACAATGAACACAAATTGCTAGATATATATATATAAATCAAATGCTGCTTAACTTTAAGATATTGTTATTGAGAAATGACATTACAGTTGAGAGCTTTTACCCATTAGTTTTAAGGCCTTGGATTGTGTTTTTAATGGCTCAGTTACCATGGCAACCTGAAGGGCTTCTATCCATCTGTGTGGGCTGTTGCATTGTAATAAAACAATTTATGCTAAGTACATTTTATCCTAGAAATGTTATCCAGTAATAACCAAGAGTTATTGCAAATCTAAATGATCCCGTGGGAGTATCTGTGGTGAAGCTCTAATGATGCCTTGGTTGGCCTTTGCCTGTGGAATCGGCATTGACGACATTGAAAGAATATTATTGAATGCATAATCAATGGTGAATGTATAATCATGAGACTAAATGTTATAATTCTCACCTCTGCTTTGATTTGAACAATGAATGGGCAGAGCAGATTCTCCATCTGTTGGAAGCTCCATCAGTCTCCAATTTCAATTTTCATTGATTTCAGTGGCATGTTTCTAAAGCAGTGGGTGATCTGTTCTGCAAGATGATTGCTCAAGTGATGATGCTAAAATTACCATCTTATCATCACATTGACTTTGGGAAACATCATTTTGTTTTTAATTCTGGATTTGAATCAAGGCCAAGCAGATGGGACAGAACTCTCCTCCTGTCACCGCCATAAATGGGTTTGAGCTGTCACAGGCTGCTCTTAATGGGAGGGAATCCACAATTAAGATCTTTTAGTAAGTTGATTCTTATTTGAAGACTTTAGCACTCTTATCTGTCTGATATAAGAAAAGGTGATGCTATTCTCCTGTGGGAGTTAGCCTTGAATGCCACTGATGAGCAAATAGGAAAGGTGTTTCTAGGTCATTTTTAGTCAATGCTGCCTTCACAATTAGCTGACATCTATTCCAAAATACTAAGAGTCCCTCCGAAAAACACTCACTCAGGTGTGGTCATAAGTTTTGTTGCACCTATTCAAGAATTGTTTCTCTAATCAAAGGGTAGCAAGCGCAGATAGTTGGACCGGGACTTTCCTCAGAGTTGCTGAATCGGAAACCAAGTGTACATCCACAGATGGGGTTTTTGGTTAAGTTATGGGAACAGTGCAGTTCCGAGGAAATGTCAGCCCCTAGTGTAAATAAAAGCAACTAACCAGCTTTCAGGAATGTATTCGATGTGTAGTGGGATTTTGGTGCATGACCAACTGCAGAAATAAATCACAGATAAGATTAGTTAAAAATGTTACCAGTTTGTCCTTACTTTTTCTTTCTTTAATTTTGGCATTCTCAACAGAGGATCACCACCTTAACAGTGACGGTAACAAGATGGATTCCTGAGGGTTACTGCATGTGCTGTTTTGATTTATGGCTGTATTATTATGAAATCAGACTACTGTAAATAATTGTCTAATATGCTGAAGTCTAGATCAGTAACAGTGTTAACGCACTGTGTCGAGTGAAAAAAATATCCACTTCATACATAACCAGCGATTAATGTAAGCTTTTTGATCCACCTTATTAGTGAACTACTATAACTATTCATTGCTTACTGTGCTTCATCAGTGTTTTATTAGTTTAAAGCCTTTTACCCTAAACATTTTTACCCAGTACCCACTCAGCTCTGTATTGTAATGTTTATTTCAGCTATTATTTTTTGATCTTATGAAAGCAAAATGCATGATCTATGGAAGAATGTTGATCTTGCATTAAAAATATTCAATTCTCTCCATGCAAAAGTAATTCTTCTCTGTTTCTGGGTCATCAGGGACCACCAGGGCCTCAAGGATCTCCAGGAATGCCAGGACCAAAGGTAGGAAAATCTTATTTCTTTTCCATGATTAACAGGGAGCTTTCTCAGTAGTCACTGGGGATAGTTTAATTTTAATGACATAAATTGAAAAGGATGGTGCGCGATGAAACTTGGCTTCCTGCTGTCAATGCTGTTGTTTTTAAAAGAAGCAGATTTGTATTATGTGTTCATTTACACATAGCCAGTGTGTAATTTGTATAGATGGAATATTTGCACAGGTTTTCATGGTTCCCATTATATCAGTACAGAATTTCTCCAAAAACTGGTTTGTACAAAGTTTCTTTTTTTTTTCATTCACTCATGGGATGTGGGCGTCACTGGCTGGCCAGCATTTATTGCCCATCCCTAGTTGTCCTTGAGGAGATGACAATGAACTGTCTTCTTGAACTGCTGTGGGTCGACCTACAATGTCCTCATGGAGGGAATTACAGGATTGTGACTCAGTGACAGCGAAGGAATGGCAATATATTTCCAGGTCAGAATGGTGAGTGGCTTGGAGGAAAATGCGCAGGTAGTAATGTTCCCATGTTTCCGCCGCGGTTGTCCTTCTAGATGGAGGTGCTCATGGGTTTGGAAGGCGCTGTCTGAGGATCTTTAGTGAATTTCTGCAGTGCAATTTGTAGATAGTACACATGGCTGCTTTAAGCATCAGTGGTGGAGGGAATGGATGCTTGTGGATGCAGTGCCAATCAAGCGGGCTGCTTAGTCCTGGATGGTGTCAAGCTTTTTTGATGTTGATGGAGCTGCACCCATCCAGGCAAGCAGGGAGTATTTTATCACACTCCTGACTTGTGCCTTATAGATGATGGACAAGTTTTTGGGAGTAAGCAGGTTACTCATTGCAGTATTCCTAGCTTCTGACCTGCTTTTTTAGCCAATGTGTTTATATGATGAGTCCAGTAAAGTTTCTGGTCAATGGGGTGGGGGTGGGGTGGGATTCAGTGATGACAACACCGTTAAATGTCAAAGAGAGGTGGTTAGGTTGTTTCTTATTGGTGATGGTCATGGCCTGGCATTTGTGTGGCACGTATGTCACTTGCCACTTGTCAGCCCAAACCTGGATATTGTCCAGATCTTATCGCACTTGAAATGGACCACTTCACTATCTGAGGAGTTGTGAATGGTGCCGGACATTGTGCAATCACTGGCAAACATCCTCACTTCTGACCTTATGATGGAGGGAAGCTCATTGATGAAGCAGCTGAAGATGGTTGAGCAACATTAAGAAACTGGATGCAAGCTTGCAGAGTCATTCTTTGACTGATTGCATCACTATTTACATAAAGCCAGTTTACTTGGATGTAATATGTCAGTAAGTCTTTTGTGAAACAAATAAGCCCATTTCAGTGCACACGCGCAGTAGGTCAGTCAAGAGCCAAACGCAAAAGACACATCAGTATTTTAGGTAGGACTCTTTATCAGAACTATCACAATATCTGATGCTGAAGATATAAAGAGTCTTCCATAAAAAGCAAACCTTACATTACACAAGTCAAACCAAATCACTCTGACTTGCAGAAAATGAAATAATGGTATCATAACAGGAGAATTGTACAGGGAGGTTGGCCAGGAGCAATATAGTCAAGAAACAAAAATATGATGATGAGCTGAGGCAGAGGCAAAGGCAGGAGATGTTTGAAGGTGGGAATTGGCATCTTAGTGGTAACACAAGTATGCAATCAGAAGCTTATCTCAAATTGCAAACAGTCTTGCCAGGGTTGCAAGAGTTACTAGGGAGAAGAAGGGAGTGAGTAGCTAGGTTGAGTTAAAAGGGTCTTGCTAGTATTTAGTTGGAGCAATTGCTGCCCATCCAATACTGGATGTTGGACAGGTGGTCTGGCTATTTAAGGACATTAGAGGGGTTGAGAGATTTGCAGTGAGGTAAAGCTCTATGTTGGTGGTGCACATGTGGAAATTGTCAGTGTTTTCAGATGACACGGACAGGGAGCAAGATGTAGATGAAACATAGGAGCAGGCCAAGGATAGTTCCTGGGCAACACCAGAGGTAACAGTGTGGAGAACAAGCAGTGGTTGGATTAGATAAATTTAAGAGAAACCAGGTTTCGCACCCAGCTGAATATCGTATCAAGGTGTTGAGGGAGAGTGGTTTGATTGGCTGTGTCAAAGGCTGCCAACAGTTTGAAAATGGATCTCTTCCTGTAAGCATTGTGCATGCACCAACACCAGATGAATTGCAGTGGTTCGAAATAGCAGCTGCCCATTACCTGACCAAGGGTCATTAATGATAGGTAATAAGTTCTGGCTGTTGTATAAAGTAGTTGAAAAGATTAATACAAAGCCTTCAAAAAGCCCCACCCACTGAAACATATGTGAGTGTCTCTGGGAGGGGATAGTCAGTTCTCATTGTCTGTTGTAGTTGTTCTGTTCTATCAGTTTCTCAGGAGATATCAGTGTCTCTTACCAATTGTAATGTAGTTAACTAGTCTTAATGCAACTTGTTATCAGGGATAGGGTAGAGGGGTGGCTTTGGATGGGTCAGTTGTGGAGTTGAACGGCCAAATAACCTGCTTCCACACTGGAGGGATTCTATGGTTCTTACTTATATATAATAAACTACACTGTGTTCCTCTTCTGACAAGAAGATAAATTAGTGGTTCACCCTTAATCACTTAATACAATAAGCCTCACAGGCTATTATTGCAAGAAAGATTGGTGGCGGCATATCTAACCAAAGAAGATCTAAGGACAACCAAGTACTAGCTATGGACATCTCTTGCAACACAATTGCAGCAATGGATGCTGTTGTCTGAGGTGAAGATATCGCACCTGTGTGAAGAGAAGAAAGAAGATTTAAACACTGCTGTTAAAATAGTGAAGACTTCTTTAAGAAAGTATCAGCTTTAAAAACAATACTCAACTCTTGCAACAGCAGCTGAAATAGAGTCAGTCAGCCTGGACTAGAAAAGCAGCAAGATGTTTTACTTTAAAAGCTTAAATCAGCAGGAACCAGGGAAAATCATATTTAAAATCTTAAGGATCCAGAAAGAGTCTCACCGAAGCTACAAGAAAATAAATCTGAATCGCAGTCCAGGGAAAAGAAGGTACCAACAATGGATTCCAGATATAAGTTGTGTTCCTCAGAGAAAAGGGTGAAAATGCTTATTTTAATGCTACTGCTCAGGTCTGGGAAGCTGAAATAGGCAAATCGCATTATCCTAATTAAAAAAGCGTTTTCTCCACAGTGAGAATCATTATTAAAAGCTGCAGAAAAGTTCTTCACAAAGGAGGCTATTTAAAAGTTCAAGAGTTGAGACATAAAAGCCAAAGGCAAAACAAGTTTTAATTAAAAAATAATCATTTTGGAGTTGAAATTAAATGTTGTTGTACAACCAAAAATATTTAAACATGCAGAAGTGTCACAACACCATTTTCATCATTTAAAAAGGGCGTGAATTTGGTTGGTGAAGAAGCAGAATGGCATCTGACAATGATCTATATTGTTAAGAAAGGTGGAAATCATACCAAGAGGAATAAAACAGTGCCAAGCCTCCATATTAGTTCTTTGTACAAAAATATTAAATGGAAGAAATGTCAATTTAAAGAATTTTTAATCTTGAAATGATTGAAATGAAGTTAAAAGCTTTATTGACGGAATGCCTTTGCATTTTAATGGTTTTAAAATCTTTAATAATTTATATCAGAGAAAAACATTCAAAGAAAATTTGAAGAAGTTTACATCTTTATTACAGCAACAAACAATTGCAATTTAACAATTAAAGGAAACTAATCTTGCTGTGTCAGTTATTAAAGTTTAATTGTAATTTAAAACATTTTTAAAGCTGGATTTTCTCCGCCGGACTTTACATGCGAACATACAAACTAGAAGCAGAAGTAGGCCATTCAGTCCTTCGAGCCTGTCCATGCCATTCAACAGGATCATGACTATTCCAATTGTAACTCTAGCTCCACATTCCTGCCTATCCCCAAGAAACTTTTGCCCCTTTGCTTATTAAGAGTACATCTGTTACTGCCACCACCTTATTGTGACAAAGACATTCCACAATATGAAACAAAAAGTTCCTCCTTATGTCTGCCTTAATTTTTTAAACAGTGCCTCCTGGTTCTAGATTCTACCACCAGAGGAAACACTTTTTCCACATCCACCCTATCAAGTCCCCTCAGGATCTTGAATGTTTCAATCAAGTCAATGGATACAAGCCCATTCTGTCCAGACCCTCCTCATTAGACAACCCACCCATTCCACATATTATTTTAGTAAAGCTTCTCTGAACTGCCTCCATATGTTTACGTCCTTCTATAAATAATGAGATCAATACTGTACACTGGTCTAACCAGTGCGTGTATAGCTGTAGAGAATATCTGCTGATTTCCCTGAGGAGCTGTCAGTATGCATGTGTGATGATGTGGAGGTGCCAGTGTTGGACTGAGGTGGACAAAGTCAGAAGTCACAGGACACCAGGTTTATAGTCCAACAGGTTTATTTGAAATCACAAGCTTTCGGAGGCTGCTCCTTTGTCAGGTGACAGTATGCATGTGTAACATGTGAGCGTGCCACACCCAGTGACATCAGTCTGTCCCGTTTGCTCATAATTATTGTACTGACTTGGAGGCCCCATTTGCTTTTCTACTGGCAGGGTGGTCCACAACATGTGCATGCACAGAATGTTCCACATGTGCAATTTGAACTATTCGGGAGTGTCAGGGATTACAGTATTCAAGATGCAATCTCACCAGTACCCAGTTTCACGTAACCTCCCTACTTTTGTATTCAATACCCCGCACAATAAATGATAACGTTTTATTAGCTTTCCTCATTACATGATGTACCTGCAAGTTAATTTTTTGTGATTCCTGCAGAAGGCACTCATATTAGAGCTCTCTAATCTCTCACCATTTAGAAAGATTGTTTCTTTTTATTCTTCCTGCCACAAAGGGCAATTTCACATTTTCCCACATCATACTTCATTGTTAAATGTTTGCGCACTCACCTAACCAGTCTGTATCTTTTTATAGCGTCC